CAAAGCAGCAGTCAAGGTTAGATTACTATTTTTAAGGTAAGGACCAGTGTGATCACCTAATCCAACATCATGTATGATACAGAGCATAGCTTTTGGGTGGACTATTACAGCATACCCACCTCAAATAAATACTTCAGGTGATATAGAACCCATCCATCATACATTGCTTGTATGCATAGCCCGCAGTCTGGGCTATGTGGGTGTGAGTAGTAGCATGCACTAACACAGTGATATTCAGACTGAGTCTCACACGCCGCAGGTAGCTCTTTAATGTGTCTCTCATAGCTCTTTGCAGCACATGATATTAAAACATTGTGCAATTTAATTATTAACCAATCATGATGCTTTTGCTATGTTATTAATCAGTTACAGAACACTTGGTCAGTTATTTTGCTGTGAGAATTACACACACACACACACACACACACACACACACACACACACACACACACAGAAAATGAAATAATTCTCATGGCTGTGAAAAATTTGTAAAGGGGTAAGAAATGATTGCATAGCACGTTTAGCTGCATTCATAGAAGCAAACCATCACCAAATAATGAATACAATATTTCAAAAAGAACAACATTGGCAGTGGACATGGAAAAGCCCAGATGGAATCACACTGAGTCAGACAGATTATGAATTATTGATGGATACCAAAGAATCTTCAATGATGTGACACTAGGCGAACAAATCATTTGCACAGGCTCAGACCATTATATGTTGCACTCAAAACTATGCATTGACAATGCTTACAAAGACCACATCAAGAGAGACCAGAAACTGAAGCAAAATTGACGCCTCAATAAAGAGGCATTTGCACAGGAAGTGAGTGAAATGGATCTTGAATATAAAGTCAACAAGGACATCAATGAAGGCAAAGGCATTGAAAGCAATGGGATACAAGCAGAAGATCAGTGAGGAAGCTATGAATCTGATGGTGAGGAGCGTACACATGAAATTAGAAGAGGAAAATGGGTGAAGAATACAGAACACTGCGCAAAGAAATTTGCATAAGGAATAAAGAAGATTACGAAGACTTCAGAAAGAAGAAGCTGAGAGGCAATCAAAAAAAAACAAAAAAAACAAGAGTCTGAAAAAAAAGACGGAAAGAGACGTTAGGCTGAAACAAGTTATCCTGGCAACGTTGAAAGATGAAAACAGTGAAAGGACATCAGAAGGGAGCAAGTTGAACAAAATATGCACAAAATTCTACAATGATCTGTATACCTCACATTGTAATGTCCAGTGTATGTTGTCAGGCTACAGAAGATGTTCCTGACATTATGCAGGAAGAAACTGAAGATGCAGTTGGTAATAAAGAGAGGAAGGTGGGTGATATTTGGTCAGACTCTCTCAAAACACTCTTGTACACTCTTTAAAGCACTAGCGCCATGGTTCATCATCTACATCAATAACAAGCATGTTCCAGAGGCATGAAAGAAATAAAAAGTGATACTACTGATGAAGAAGGGTAATCCAGAATAATTGAGCAATTACCATCCAATCACACTCCTCTCACAAATGTATTAAGGTCTCCATCTGCACAATAGTCAATCAGATTAAGATGTACAGTATATTGAAATTCACAAACATAGAGAACAAGTTGGTTTTCACTCAGGGTATTCAACAATTGATTATATCCACTCAGTTCGGCAGCTCACTGAAAAACGTAAGGAATACAAAGTGCCATTGTGTCTTGCATTTATTGACGATAAAAAAGCATTTGACCCTGTGGAGATTAACACTGTACTCAACACGCTCAACAAAATTGGAATCAACCCCAGATACATTGACCTGCTTGAAGAAATCAACCCCAATGGCTTGACAGAGATAACATTATTCAAAATTTCATGCACTATTTTTTTATGTAGAGGAGTCAGAGAAGGCAACACAATTTCACAAAAGCTATTTATTGGAGTCGCTGTTCAAAAAACAGAACTGGGAAGACAGAATTAGCATTGACAGAGTATAGTTGAGGCATCTTCCATTCGCTGACAAGTGCGTAATATTGGCAAATGACACAGTAGAACTGGAGAACAAATTGAAGCAACTGTAAACACTTTCACAGGATATCGGGTTGGAAGTGAACACGTTGACAAGGCACAAGGTGGTGAATACAGAATAAACACCTCAAGGAAAATAATCGAGGCGGTTGACAAATATATTTGCCTTTGTCAGCATCTGAACAGAGACAACTCACACAAAGGGAAATGCAATAGAAGAAAGGTAGGTTGGTCAAGTTTCAACAAAACAAAGACATCTCTAACAGATGATGAATTGCGCATAAAGAAAAGGAAAAAAAAAGTTTAACTTCACTATTTTGCCAGCAATATTATATGAGTAGAAAGCTAGTCAATGACTAAAGCAGAGGAAGAACAATTTCCTGCTGCCCAGAGAGCAATGGAAAGGTAAATGTGTAAGATATTGTTCTGTAATCACATACTGAATGAAAAGATCAGAAGGCATACAGAGGTGACTGATGTAGGGCAGATGATGTAAGATGCAAAATGGAAAAGGGTGGGTCACATAGTCAGTAGACAAGACAATAGGTGGACCATGTGCATTAGTGACTAGATTCTAAGAGATTACAATCGACCACTGGACAGAAAGAAAACACTCTGGGTCAATCCATGACAACACTCTTTGGCCAGAAATGAAAATAATGTCATGACAACAAAATGAAATAGTGTGGCATTGACTTGAGTTCATGGAGGGATGGACAAGGACAAAAATGGAAAAAGTGACAAAGTTAGTTTTTTTGAGTAATGTGGAATACTAATGTGGCTCTTGAATCCCTGTAGGGGCAGGGCTACAATACAATAATGTAGCTGGAGTCAACTTATTGTAGGTCAACTTATTGTGGTGGCTACACCATGCGGGTTTGATGGGAAAGTTTCTGCCATCAACTTACTTTAAGCTTCTTGTTGGTGTGGAGAACCGGTTTCAACAGAAGCATGTATGGCAATTGGTATTCACTAGACTGGCTAAATCGGTGGAGCAAGCATCATAGCCTCAGTCCATCTGCGGTGGACATATGTGCCCCATGTAGGGCCTGCTACAGCAAGCTAAAGGGACCCACTTCACAGTAATGGAGTTCTTATAGCCCAAGTCCCCCTACAGGGCGATACCCTGCCCCTGCATCATAAGCTCCGCCCCCACAGCAGGGCACCCTGCCCCTGTGCCATAGGCTCCGCCCCCACAGCAGGGCACCCTGCCCCCGTCCCATAGGCTCCGCCCCCACAGCAGGGCACCCTGCCCCCGTCCCATAGGCTCCGCCCCCACAGCAGGGCACCCTGCCCCCGTCCCATAGGCTCCGCCCCCACAGCAGGGCACCCTGCCCCCGTCCCATAGGCTCCGCCCCCACAGCAGGGCACCCTGCCCCCGTCCCATAGGCTCCGCCCCCACAGCAGGGCACCCTGCCCCCGTCCCATAGGCTCCGCCCCCACAGCAGGGCACCCTGCCCCCGTCCCATAGGCTCCGCCCCCACAGCAGGGCACCCTGCCCCCGTCCCATAGGCTCCGCCCCCACAGCAGGGCACCCTGCCCCCGTCCCATAGGCTCCGCCCCCACAGCAGGGCACCCTGCCCCCGTCCCATAGGCTCCGCCCCCACAGCAGGGCACCCTGCCCCCGTCCCATAGGCTCCGCCCCCACAGCAGGGCACCCTGCCCCCGTCCCATAGGCTCCGCCCCCACAGCAGGGCACCCTGCCCCCGTCCCATAGGCTCCGCCCCCACAGCAGGGCACCCTGCCCCCGTCCCATAGGCTCCGCCCCCACAGCAGGGCACCCTGCCCCCGTCCCATAGGCTCCGCCCCCATCAACGGTCAAGTGGGCGGTGCGCGGAGTCTGGCCCGTTCGAACCCGCGGGCAGCTGGGCGGTGCTTAGTTTGAGCAGCAGATGCTCCCCCCAATAGCGCTGCGAAGCTTGCGCATGGGCCCTCTTTATTGGGCAGCAGTAGGACGAAGGCGGGGCTATTCCGGGAGACTGAGGAACGCGGCGGGGTGGACGCCAAGCGTCCTGTTGCCATAGCAACGGGCCGG